TGAAGGGACCACGTAGCCCCCGCTCCCCCAGAAGCTAGAAGGGAGCCGTTTGGAAAATTTGTCACCGCAAAGCTGCCGTTTCCTCCTCTAACACGCACAAGGTAACCTATCGGCTGAGAGTACTGACTCGCCCCAATTTTAGTCTATTAACATGGTATATGATGGCCATTACTTCTACAACATTGTCAAGAAGTCACCGATTCAATACCGACATTTTCAGCGTAACTTAAGAAGGAATCTCTCAAACTTTCCATCAGACAATTCAGTACCATTGGTCTCTCTGTTAAATTTTCATAGAGCACAGATAAAGGTCACTAGTGTCAAACATGCAATATACAACACGGTAGCACATCATCATCTGAATATATCATACTTACACTTGAAGACTTTGTATTATGACATGCAGAACACATCAGGAGAAGTATTTTTCCAATTCATTTTTATTTTGGTTTCCATTGTTTACAGCATTGATACAGGAATAATTCATGCAAATTTACCACCTTAAATACAGCAGAGAGAAAACTCACTGGTAAGAGTATTTCAAAGAGCTCCATCAACATAACACAATGCGAAAAATGAGTAGCAGCAATAAGGTAAAGTGCATTTAGCTGACCTTCTTTAATAAGAGTTTGGGGAAGACTGCTTTTGGAATTACCTGTTCTAAGGATTAGTTTACCATTCTTTATGAAAAGCAGAAGAGAACAGCATCCTTGCTGACAGAGTTCATTCCTCCACCACTATGAATTAAAGAAGTACAGCTTTATTTTGTTTAAGAGGAATTCAGCTCATAGGCCCTTCTGTTAAAAGTTTGATTCTTGATCACTCGGGCTTCCGGGGACAAGGGTTACACACATACTTAAAAATTATTCTCTCCCATGTTAGCAGTTTTGCTTCTTAAAGAATTCAAGTGGTTCTTTCCCCCGTTCTATAGCTTAGGTTTCAGCATTACAGTGAGAATGCCTACATCACCAAAATCGGAACAGTGTCAGAAACACACACACTGGCAACCAGATTCTAAGAACCCATCAATCTCTTTTCCCCTTTACAGATCAGACACTGGCTTAAAGATCAGCTCATTTATCAGATTTCCCCTAAAGGCCTGATGAAGAGATGCTAACAGCACATGTCTTCAAAAGCAAGGTCAGCACTTCAGGTAGCTGACAATTTCCTAGTGTATTAAGGATGTGCTTAATGTTTTAACTCAACAACATTGTACATAGCCTATTATAAATGTGTATGTGATAGCTTGGGAAACTAGCGATCCAAATTTATTCACCTAATACCTGCAGCAGAATAACAGGGGATGATTCCATTTATTCTGGCATACTTCACCACAAGCCTAGAAAACACACGTCCAGAGGCAAAGACTCAAATTTCTTTCTTACTCATCCTCAGATCTGATCCAAGCCGTATTTATGTCCTGGTGGTTGCCTGAGGAAACCAACCAAGCCCAATGAAGCCCTCTGATGAAAATGGCTTTTCAGTTTGGGTTTGATTCAAAGCTGTCTACTGGAAGTGAAAGGTTTGTTTGCTTTCTGCATTCCAGGGACATAACAAGAGTCTCACTGCCAGGTCCTACATGATCAAGATACTTCTTACTGCAAATCTTAGAACAGCCTAAAGTACTTACTGCTATTTCACTATTTTTACTCCCTCAAGTATCAGGCAGCTGCTTCTTTCTGGAACTTTCATGACACACAAAACAGGGGACTTGTCACAGGCACTTATATTCACACCTGAGCATGAACGAGAAATCCTAAGGCCAGCTGATACCATTTTCAAGTCACAAGTCTCATTGTCAATAAGAAAAAAAAAAAAACACACTTAGTGGTTCTGAAGTTGACTGGGACCTGCTCAAAGATAGCCCATATTCTCTAAAGTTTGATGCTGAACAGATTTAGGTTGTCAGCAACCTCAGAACTCTGGGATCTGATTCCAGATTCCTCAAGACATTTTATGGGGAACAGAAAGGCTATACCCAACACATGGCAAAACAGTGACCCACCAAGTGGAAAAGAAATTTTACAACATAAGAACCTAATACTGGTACTACTGAAATCAGTGGGAATTTCTCCTCTATCAATTCCAACAGGAAAACACTCGAGTCCTTACAATTCCCCAATCTTATACTCCAAATTCAAAATTGATTACTTTCATCTATTTGCAAATAAAGAATGTTGGGGGAAAAAAAAAAAAGTTGCCTTAACCCATTCTTGCCCTGGTATGAAATAAAATGGGCATGTCTTCCCCCGGGCCCCAGAGGAGCTGCACTTGCCAGCTCATTCTCATACTTCTAACAGAAGAGGAACAACATCAAATCATATTACTGCACGGACTGTAACATCCTACGGGAACTCTACATGAAGCAAAATCTCTTACAGCTTGTAATCCACATGCTGTTCTTGTGGCCAAATAGTGGTAATGGAATTCCAAAGGCCTGCTTCCAGAAACACAGCTGTGCATTTCCAAAAAAACCCCACATTCATCAACTTATCTCATAAGGCAGTTCCTTACATTCTGTCAACGGGCTTTTCTTTCCTATTTTTCTTCCTTGAAGAAGCTGCCAAATTACCAGCACTACCTCCATCACAGGAGCTAGTTATGTCTTTGCAAATTATTTGTCCATGACGTGAAATGGGCCAGACTGCATTATTAAAGAGCTCTTGAGAGGAAGAAACTAACTCCAAAGACAATAAGCTTACCAAAGCAAAAATCTTAGTCCCTCTTGCTCTGGAAGAGAACTGGGTTTTGTTCATAGGTTTAAAGATACTGACAGTAATAAATCTTTCTATGAAGGGACACAGTGATTGTCTGTCATGTTCTACAATAACAGAATATTAACTTAGGAGACAGACCTGCATGGGCTATAAATGCACTGTGAAACCATCATGATGTCTGCATACATGGGATCTGTGTTTAGACAAACAGCTGCTTGTCACACATACATAAACTTGGGGCTTGGAAGTCAGAAGTTCTATCTTCATGTAGTAAAATGAACGACTCCATAAAGACATGTCAGAATAACTTTTAACCTGATAAACGTTGGTTTGTTTTAAATTTGTTACTGTACTTGATTTTGCTTTAAAAAGCCCCCTGTCAATGTGTGAAGCACACATTCCCTCTGAAGTAGCCCAGCCTCACAAGAAGGAAAAAGAAGAGTTATAAACAGCTAGTGTTTAGAGGTGGGACACAAAACGTGGAAGCAGAATCCTATTGTTCACACAGCAACTGGAAACATAGCAACAGGCTTTTGCTCATTCCCTGTAGGGAATTCCATCACCCACCATGTTCTCTGCAGTAGTTAAGAGAGCACTGAAGGGAAACAGTGTTGTTTTTCCTCTTCTTCCCACACTATCTGCTTTGCTGCAGGTACTGATGTGTGAACATGTTGAGTTCACTGTCAAGCCAACCGGCTTTATTCCTGCAAGGACAAAAAGTCTCCATTAGGTGAGTAAAATAGCTCTTCTGAAGCCGATCTGAAAGAAGCATGACTAAAATGAGTAAACAGCAAGGCATGGAGAGGCCAGAGGTCCATTCCACAATGCTGCTACCATTCCTTGCTCTTCCTCAGGTCAGGAACACTTGCCTGCTAACAGTCCCTAGGTTTTGAGGTTCAAACTGAGATCTTGGCCACAACTTCACATTGGTCTTACTGTGTAGATAAGGAATGTTTGAAAAATTCTTCCTAACAGCCTTTGCAGGGTGAAGAAAAATAGCAGACAACTGTGTACAAAGGCAAGGGTGAGACTTTTTGTATGATTTTATAATAGCCTGAAGGCGTTCATAGGAGTAGAGGACTGTACCTTTTGATAACAAACCAAAAACAAGAAGGAAAAGGCATTCTGTAAGACAGAAGATTTAAATTACTGCTGAGAGTACATGGGAAAGTACATACTGAAAGGGAACATGATCTGGTA